ATCACAATTATAAAAGCACAGATCAGGCCTAGTGCTGGAAATACTTTATTCCAGATTCTGTATATATAATTAATGTAAGAGATTATAAAATAACAATCTGATTTTAGTACTAAAAGTAGCTCTGTTCCCTAGTTGGAATAAGTGGTTAGCTGCTAAATAGGCATAGTGTAATGTATTCATTGTTACCCTCAGTAAATTGATCTCAGTATTGAGCATAAGATTCAAACATCACTCAGTGATTTAATTAAAGGAAGGTATGTATTCCTGAATTAGTAACAAGAGGGAAGGTTAGCCATCAGACAAATTTTGGGGGGGAAAACCTAGTTTTCAGGTTATATCATATATTTCTTTGAGTTTTAAAATGTACCAATTTTTCATTTCATGGCCCACATACATATTTAATAGTATTGCTATGTGTAAGGAGTGAATTATGGGGGTGGTGGGGGGGGGAATATTGATAGTTAGGCCTGTGAGGGCAAACATCAAAATGATTACAGGGTGATAGCAACTCTATCGTGAATGTTAAAAGTGGCTTACTGTTCAACAGCAAATTTTTGAAATGCTGTAAAATTCACACACATACTTTGCTTGCCTTGAAATTTACTTTACATTTTGAGGCTTGGGATTTATAATTAGTATTTTAGATTTGGGGTAATATGGATAATATTCCAAGATACAAGGCTCCCAATAATATCATGCATCATTCTTGTAACTATTTCAGATTAATCTGAGTCTCAATAAATGGCTGTGATCCACCCCAAATGGGATTGGTCTCACCTTGTGTCAGGCATCCACCATCTCTTTGGAGAAGTAAAGATTTAAAGTTAATTCAGACTGAAATTTGAATCTCCATCATGGCTTAAGCCTTGACAATTTTCCAACAAATGGCATTTCTGTATGTGCAGCAGGGCTAGAGTGAGAGGATGGCTCAAGAAGATATACCATGACTAGAGAACATAAGCAGTTTTCAGGCACTGAGAAAAACACTCCTGAAAATGCATACTGTATACATTAATTACTCTTCATATGGGGGGCAAGGGTGTGAAAGGGGAATCCTTCTGGTAGCTGTGACCCAAAAGCAAAGCTGTTGATTTAAGACCCAATATTCCAAAGTGCTTTAAAATCCATCTACAAATTTGGGTTACTTTGAAAACTGCCACAGTCTAGTTAGAAAAGGCTTTGACCCTCATAATATTTGTAGTATGGATTGTCCCTGAAATCAGGTATTGGATGCTAAAAAGGATCCATTTAGAAATATGCTATTTACTGGTGTAGGCATTACATGATGCGGGTCTCCACAGCTCACACAATGCTATAAACCAGGCTTGTCCAACATGTGGCTCATGGGCCACCATGCAGCTCTCCAAGCTGTTTTCTGAGGCCTGAGGTGCTGCGATGGGAAATGAAAGTAAACACTGTACTTTTGTTTCAGGAGGGTGATGAGATACCGCTTCCTGTCTTTGAATATGGCTCTCCGGCCCTCTGGGTGATAAAAAGTTCATGATCCAGCCCCACATTCAAAAAGGTTGGACACCCCTGCTATAAACAATGCATCTAAACCTGATGGACAACATATGCTTTGTTTCTATATTAAGTAAGGTACCTAGGTTGTGGAAAGAGAAGGACACAATAGTCTTACCCTGCCAGGTTAGTGGTAAATATAAGTGATCTTCTAGAGGAATCTTTAGCATAAAAATCCATTGACAATAGTATTGGGTAACTGTTGGATAGTGTTTGCAGAGTACATGAAGTGTTTAGGGTGAAGCCACCTTGTAGCTTGCTGGTGTTCATAAAGGCCATTGAAAAAAAAACTCTGAGATGTGTTCTAGCAGTCTCTCATGTAATGCATCCCACCAGCAGCACTCCATTTCTAGGGATCTCCATAAATCATGCTGGAAGCGCCTCCTACAGTGGCTTTTTAAATAATTTTTCATTTCACTGCATCCCCCCCCCCCCACCTCTAATTAGCAGAGGGGCTCTGCCACCCAGGTCATTTGCCCCTGATTGCCAGGCTTCCCTGGTGATCAGCAGCAAATGGCTCAGCTGGTGTGGCCCCTCTGCCATCAGGGGCAGTGGGGCAAGTGGTGAAATGAAAAACGTTAAAGGCTCCACTGTGGAGAGCACTTCCAGCATGATTTACAGAGATCCATATTCATATCATTTGGAAGAATAGAGTGCTACATTATCTGTCAGTGTCAGGTCGGGAGTATACACAACAAGGGCAGAATTAAGGTTACAGAAAAGTCTGGAGTTATCCTAACAGTGTATTTCCTGCTCTCCAGAGCTATGTGCAGACAGTCGAAAAGCCTGAAGTTGAATCAATCCAGTCTTCACAGGTTAATATAAACTGTGTAGATTGAACTGATAAGCAAGTGAACAGACATTCACTTTTTATTCCAGAAATGCAGTCATATATCTGAAGTTCTTCAGGCAAGAAGCTGGGGGTGCTAGATCATGACTCCCTGTTCAGCTGGAGCAGACAACTTGGGCCAAGTCTGGTCCACCCACCTTGTGAGGGGGGTACGAAGCATTTTGGGATGTTGGGGCATTGTGAGTTAACTTAAATCTGGAGGAGATCTGGGGCAGACGTTCAAGAAACCAGTTTAACTTAAATCAGTTAAGTCTGATGCAATATCCAACCATGTTTATTTTAAACCACTTTTGGCCATTTTAAAAGCAGTTTACGTGCACTAAGCTTCTGGGCTAAGTAAGGACAGTCAAAAAACCCAAGGCTGAATCAATTAAGTCTTTGCAGGTTAGTCTAAAATGCACAGATTAAATTGAAATAGATTGAAATTAAATCGAAACAGATTAAATTGAATAAGTTTGACCTCAATCCCTGGAAAAAAGTCTTGGAAAAAATAATCAAAGAAACCATCAACAACAGGCTAACAGAAGGCAACATTCTGAGAGATAGCCAACATGGCTTCATTGCAGGTAGGTCTTGCCTGACCAACCTCATTTATTTCTATGACCAGGTGACGCATCATCTGGACAAAGGAGAAGAGGTTGATTTCATACATGCGGATTTCAAAAAAGCCTTTGACTTAGTCTCCCATGATGTCCTCACAGGAAAATTGGGGAACTTCAGCTTTGACAACCTTGCAGTCCAATGGCTGGGGAACTGGCTTTGTGGTTGGAACTAGAGAGTGATAGTTGATGGAACTGAGTCAACATGGTGACCAGTGGTATGCCCCAGGGTTCAGTACTCAGACCTGTACTCCTCAATACTTTTCATTAACGATCTGGATTTGGGTGTCAGTAGTGGACTGGTTAAGTTTGCAAGACACCAAATTATGGGGAAGTGCAGTCACGCTAGAGGATAGACTGACAATTCAGGCCAACCTGGACAGGCTCACAACGTGGGTGGATAAAAACCAGATGACATTGAACATGGAGAAGTGCAAGGTGCTCCGCCTCAGGAGAAAAAAAAAGGACATCATACTTATAGACTCGGTAGTGCTACACTCACTAGCACCATAATCAAAAGAGACTTGAGGGTCATGATTGACCACAAAATGAGCATGAGCTACTGATGTGATGCCGCAGCTGGCAAAGCAAATAAGACCCTGGCTTACATCTACCAATGCATCGCAAGCAAGATGCAAGAAGTCATCCCTCTGCTGTATTCAGCCTTGGTGAGGCCACAGGTGGAGTATTGCATCCAGTTTTGGGCTCTGCACTTTAGAAAGGATGTGGAGAAGCTTGAGGGAGTCCAGAATAGAGCCACACATGAGTAGAGGTCAAGAAAACAGGCCTCATGAGGAGAGGTTGAGAGGCATTGGATTCTTCAGCCTGGAGAAGCGAAGGCTCAGGGGTGACTTGATGGCAGCCTATAAGTATATAAGGGGTGCACATCAGAAGCTGGGAGAATGTCTGTTCACAAGGGCACCCCAAGGGAAGATAAGGTCTAATGGTCACTGTAACAGGAGGGACGGCAGGGTCGCCATGCTAGCCCTTGCCGCCTCCTCTACTGTGCCAAGTTTTGGACTTGCACCCTCCTATTCTCGCCCGCCACGACTTTGATGATATGTGTTTTTGTAGGGAGGCTACCTCGCTTCCACTTGGCCACAGTTCTCCTGCTCCGGGTGTCCGGTCTAGGCCTTGCGGGCCTTCTCTATACGCCACCCTTCTCACTAGGGCTCTTCCCTCTGCAAGGCTGCCCTTCTCACCGGGCTCTTCCTTGGAGCTGGGGTCTGTACCACTGAACTCTGTGTCCTCATGCAAGGCTGCCCTTCTCACCGGGCTCTTCCTTGGAGCTGGGGTCTGTACCACTGAACTCTGTGTCCTCACTGGGGCTAGGGTCCTCACTCTACCGTGAGTCCCCTATGAGGCCTCCTCCATCCCCTTATAGCCTCACCCAAACCACCGGTGTAACATCAACACAAACTCAGTGTAATACATAACAACACAAACTCGAGCCTCCTGGCTATAACTCAAACATATGCCCTCTGGCTATAACAACATTGCTCCACTCTGATCAAGCTGTACTTGCCGTTAGGCTTCTCCTCGTATCCTAACTCCAGGAGCTCCTGCCCCTCTGGCTGCTGGCAAGGAACCACCTCTTGTCTCAGCTCTCTCTCCCTAAGAGCCAGGCCTTGCCCCTTATAGCCAGCTGATCACTGGCAGGTGTGGGTCATTTGCCGTCTCCTGTTGCCCTGGCAACCCACACCTGATGAGCCTTCGTGGCTCTCGTAGTAGCAGGCACCTTAGTGTCCTGCTACACACCTCCCCGCTCAAGACTTCAACTCACCGAGGCGGTTTGCATTCTCGTCCCTCTGGCTTCCTTCGTTTTAATCCTTCTTGGTTCTTGTTTTGGCTCACCAGCACTTTAAAAAAAAATGCACAGAAGCGGAGGTTTTAAGGCGCCTCCTGCTCGCCTTTTCCCCAAGGTGCACCACGTGGGATTTCCTGGGAGTTGCCCTGCCACGGGCAGTCCCCCCACATTAGCCAACCTTGGTAAGCTGACCTCTCTGTTGGTTGAGCTCCTTGTCTTTTAGGGTCCACTATCTCTTCTTATGCCTCTCTCCTGAAGTAGTGGTGCTTGTCTTTCCTAATAGCCTCCCTGAAGGTCTTGAAGCCTTCCTCATATCTCCCACTGTCTTCTCAATGTTCTCTGAGCATTTTCTTCCTCCCAAAACTCGATCTTTCCTCGGCCGGTGGATTCTCCTTTAGGTCCTTTATAAATTTTTACATAAGCTACGCCTCCGACTTTTGCTTCAACAAGCTTTCTTAAAGTCCACCACTTGACGTTTCCTGGGATATTCTGCACATAAATCTGGGGTCTCCTCCCCCGACTGTCCCTCACTTTAGGTGGTAGTTCTCTTCCTCGTATCTCTATTTCCTTGGCCTCACTTTCTCTTCTGGGTCCCACTGATCCCTTTTCCTTGGGGTTCATCTTTGGCTTATGTCGCCTGACGCCTTGTCTCTCCTGTGTGCAGTCTTGGCAAATCTGATTATTGGTCTCTTTCCTTGAACTCGCCTGTTCATTCTTTCCTACTGTCCCTGCCTCTATCAGGGCTGCTTCCCCTAATGGCCTCTGATGGGGTACAGTAATTCCCCACCTAGCTCGAGGTTTATAGCATTCCCTCAGCTGTTGTCTTATATGGCTCATCTCTTCGGCATGACGCTCCAACCATTGGTCCCATCTTTTATTCCAGTCGTCTAGGAACGCTGGTAGAACTCCTTCTAGGGCTGTAGACTTCGTCCCTACCAATCCCTCTTCTGGGTTGCTTCCCTCAAGTGATCCTAGTTCGGCCTCCTCTCTCAGATCCTCTGGTCCTTGGTCTCCCTTGAAACTCAAGGGAGACCAAGTGTTTTCTGTCTTTCCAGCTGCACGGTTGCTAGTTGCACCTCCACTTCCCTCAAGGACCTTTTCGTTGCCTTGAGTTCCTGGTGCTGCTCTAGGCATTCTGACTTAGTCATGATCATACACTCCGCTAGTTTGGCTCCCAGAGCCTCCAGCCTCTTTTGCATTGCATCTGCAACCTTTTCCACTTGGGCCTTCTGTCCTGCGTCTGTCTGAGTTGCTATGCTTGTTGTCTCTGGCACCTCTGACTCCCTAGGATCTTGGCCTTTTGTGGCCATCTGCCTGTTTGCTACCTGAAGCATTTTCTTTTCTGCCTCCAGGGCTTGGACCTGCTGACTTAAGGCTTGCATTTGATGTAATGCCTGCTCCCTCTCATTGTTAGTCAATGCCTCTTTAGCCGCACCATCCTCCAGGAGGGTTTTAAGGCTTTGTATCTGTTCTTCCAGATGGTCTTTTTCAGCCTCCACACTCTGTAGCTGGGACTGTAACCTATCATTCTCTTTCACTCCAGCCTCTAACTCCCTTTCAAGGGACAGGTTCCGCTCCTGCAAGGCATCATAATTGGCCATGTATTCTTTTACCTTTCCCATCTCATGTGCGAGCACCTTTCCCTTTTCTTCGGTCAGAGCCTGATTTTCATGCAGGGTGTTCCGCAGCATTTGAATTAGTTGTTCTGCACCCATATACTTTTGCTGCCATTTCTCCACCTCGTCCTGCAATTCCTGTACGTGATCTTCCTGGCCACGGATTTCTTTCTGAAGGATCAAGCTTTTGGAGACCTCCAACCTCTGTAGCATCTCCTTCTGTTCCCCTACCTGGGTTGTGCAGGTTGCAGTAGACTTTTCTCTCCAAGCTGCCATCTCCCTCTGCATTTTCTGTGGCTTCTCTTCCCTCTCCCAGCTCTTTTGGGGTCCGTTTGCAATAAGCTGCTCTAATGTGCGAGTTCTCTCCGCTTCCGCCGCTATCATGCGCCTGATTTCTTTTGAGCCTCCTTCCCTTTTTCCTGCCTGGGCCCGCTGTTCTAACCCAGCAGCCCTTGCCTCCACTTGCTCTTTTTGAAAGTGGGCCACCTCCAGCTCCCACTCCAGCCGTTCCAATTTTTCCTCTAACTCATCTATTCGTAATAGCCTGGTGAAATTCTCCTGTCTCAGGCTCTCGATATCCTTTGCCATTGCCATCCTGGTCTCGCCTTCACTGGTTGGCCCTCTGGCTTCCCAGTACCGTCCCAGGGCAGTGCCTTCCTACTTTGCCCTCTTTTCACTTTGTGTAGCCGCTGTCTTCTTACAGCCCCTCTCCGTCCTTATTTTAGCCCTTCGGTTTGTCTTTCTGTGCACGGCCTTACAGTTTCCCAGCCAATGCACCACTGTAACAGGAGGGACGGCAGGGTCACCGTGCTAGCCCTTGCCGCCTCCTTTACTGTGCCAAGTTTTGGACTTGCACCCTCCTATTCTCGCCCACCACGACTTTGATGATAAGTGTTTTTGTAGGGAGGCTACCTCTCCTCCACTTGGCCACAGTTCTCCTGCTCTGGGTGTCTGCCATGTCTAGGCCTTGCGGGCCTTCTCTATACGCCACCCTTCTCACTAGGGCCTTCTCTGCAAGGCTGCCCTCCTCACCGGGCTCTTCCCTCTGCAAGGTTGCCCTCCTCACCGGGCTCTTCTTTGGAGCTGGGGTCTGTACCACCGAATTCCGTGCCCTCACTGGGGCTGGGGTCCTCACTCTACCGTGAGTCCCTTACGAGGCCTCCTCCATCCCCTTATAGCCTCACCCAAACCACCGGTGTAACATCAACACAAACTTAGTGTAATACATAACAACACAAACTCGAGCCTCCTGGCTATAACTCAAACATATGCCCTCTGGCTATAACAACATTGCTCCACTCTGATCAAGCTGTACTTGCCGTTAGGCTTCTCCTCGTATCCTAACTCCAAGAGCTCCTGCCCCTCTGGCTGCTGGCAAGGAACCACCTCTTGTCTCAGCTCTCTCTCCCTAAGAGCCAGGCCTTGCCCCTTATAGCCAGCTGATCGCTGGCAGGTGTGGGTCATTTGCTGTCTCCTGTTGCCCTGGCAACCCGCACCTGACGAGCCTTCGTGGCTCTCGTAGTAGCAGGCACCTTAGTGTCCTGCTACAGTCACAAAATGTTGTAAGACTGTACATAAGGAAAAACCTCTTTACTGTCTGAGCCCCCAAGGCCTGGAACAGACTTCCCCCAGAAGTGGTGCAAGCACCTGCTCTAGATACCTTTAAGAAATGCTTGAATGCTTATCTTGCTGGGGTCATCTGACCCTGCTGACCCCACGACTGGGCGGTTAACATTAGGGGCTATAGGCTTTACAGGCGAGATAGAACAGGAAGGAAAGGCGGGGGTGTGGCGCTCTATGTCAAAGAGCAATACACATCCTATACCAGCAGGATGGGGTCAGAGGAGGGGCAGGCTGAAGTGCTCTGTGTCAGGATACAAGGGGGTCTTGGGGAAAGGGACTTAATGGTGGGGGTCTACTACAGACCTCCCAACCAAGGGGAAGCGCTGGACCATGAATTCTCGGGTCAGCTTGTGGAGGCACTTAAGGCAAGGGATGTAGTTGTCATGGGTGATCTAAATTACCAGGACATCTGCTGGGAGGAGCGGTCAGCCAGGTCGGACTGCTCATGGAGGTTCCTGGCCAAGATACAGGACCTCCACTTCACCCAGGAGGTGCACAGTCTTTCCAGGGGGAATGCCCTGCTGGACCTGTTCCTGGCCACAGGTGATGACTTGGTAAGAGAACTCCAGGTCCTCGACCACCTGGGTGATAGTGATCATCACTTGTTTGGAATTCACCATCCAGCGCAGTTTGACAAGGACCTGTAGCAAGGCAGTGGCCCTAGACTTTAAGAGGGTCAACATCAATGAGTTAAGGAGATTAGCGGGAGAGGCGCTGGGGTCCTCAAGAGTAGGGGAACTCAGTGCCCAAGATGAGTGGTCGTTCCTGAAGGAGACGATACTCAGAGCCCAAGGGGTGACAATGCCAACAAGAAAAAAAGGGAGACAAGAGTGCCCAAAAGCCCCCCTGGCTCACCAAGGGCATTCGTAAATTCCTGATTGCCAAAAAGGAGGTATATACCCGGTGGAAGGGAGGGGCTATCACCAAACAGGAGTATACCTTCACCACTTGGGTAGTGGTCGTTCCTGAAGGAGACGATACTCAGAGCCCAAGGGGTGACAATGCCAACAAGAAAAAAAGGGAGACAAGAGTGCCCAAAAGCCCCCCTGGCTCACCAAGGGCATTCGTAAATTCCTGATTGCCAAAAAGGAGGTATATACCCGGTGGAAGGGAGGGGCTATCACCAAACAGGAGTATACCTTCACCACTTGGGTATGTAGGGGGGTTGTTAGAAAAGCTAAGGCAGACATGGAGCTAGGGCTAGCGTCAAGGATCAAAGATAATAAAAAGTCCTTTTTTAAATATATAGGGAGAATGAAGAAGGCACCAGGGATTGTGAGGCCCCTGCAGGATATGCTTGGCAATCTGGTGGTTGCATCAGAGGACAAAGCAGACCTATTTAACAAATTCTTCACCTCCAGGACCAGGACTCCCCAACCAAGGACTCCCCAACCAAGATTCCAGATGGACTCAGGAGAAACGCTGCCAGGCCTAAGGTCAGGGAAGACTGGGAGGGGTTGGATGGGCTTCTGGAGGGGCTGGATGTGTTCAAACCAGCAGGTCCAGATGCTCTCCACCCCAGGGTGTTGAGGGAATTGGCAGGGGTTATTGTGGGACACCCAGCATGGCTTTAGGAGCACTCGTGGTGCTCTGGCCAGGTGCCAGATGACTGGAAGAAAGCCAACGTTGTCCCAATCTTCAAAAAAGGGAAGAGGGAGGACCCAGGCAACTATAGGCCCATTAGTCTTACTTCAATCCTGGGGAAACTCTTTGAGAAGTTCATCAAGGTGCACATCTGTGATGGGCCAGCAGCAGGGATGGTGCTCAAGGGCAACCAACACGGTTTCATTAGGGGCAGGTCCTGTCAGACCAACCTGATTGCCTTCTATGATCAGGTCACAAAAGCACTGGACGCAGGTGTCACGGTGGATGTAGTCTTTCTGGACTTCAGCAAGGCCTTTAACATTGTCTTCCACCCCATTCTCATCAAAAAACTAGGTTACTGTGGCATTGATGCCTACACAGTCAGATGGATTGCAAATTGGCTGAAGGGTCATACTCAGAGGGTAGTGGTGGAGGGGTCTTTTTCGACCTGGAGGGAAGTAGGCAGTGGAGTCCCTCGTGGCTGGTCCTTGGGCCCTCACTGTTCAATTTCTTTATTAGTGACTTGGACGATGGGGTAAAAACAGCCTGTTTAAATTTGCTGATGATACCAAGTTTTGGGGTGAGGTGTGCATGCTAGCAGGGAAGGACAGATTACAGCAGGACCTGGACAGGTTACAGGGGTGGGCTAATGAAAATAGGATGGGTTTCAATACTGACAAGTGCAGGGTGATGCACTTGGGCAGTAGGAACCAGCAGGACACTTATAAGCTTGGAATCTCCCTTCTCAAGAGCACGGTTGCAGAAAGAGATCTTGGAGTCACTATTGACTCCAAGATGAACATGGGCCGACAATGCATGGTCACGGTCAGTAAGGCTAACCGTACCTTGTCGTGCATCCACAGATGCACCTCAAGCAGGGACAAGGAGGTGATCCTCTCCCTCTATGAGACACTGGTCAGGCCACAGTTGGAGTATTGCATCCAGTTCTGGGCACCGCACTTCAGGAGGGATGTGGACAGCACTGAGAGGGTCCACAGGAGGGCCACCCGCATGATCTGGGGACAGGAGGGCAGACCCTATGAAGAGAGGCTACGTGACCTTAACCTGTTCAGCCTTCACAAGAGAAGGCTGAGGGAGGACCTGGTGGCCATCTATAAACTCACCAGGGGGGACCAGCAGGGTTTGGGAGAGACCTTGTTCCCCCTAGCGCCCCCAGGGTAACAAGGAATAACGGCCACAAATTGTTAGAGAGTAGGTTTAGACTAGGCATCTGAAGGCACTACTTCACAGTCAGGGCAGCTAGGATCTGGAACCAACTTCTGGGAGAAGTGGTGCTGGCTCCTACCCTGGGGGTCTTTAAGAGGAGGCTTGGTGTCTACCTGGCTGGGGTCATTTGAGCCCGGTTTTCTCTGCTGCCCAGGGCAGGGGATTGGACTTGATAATCTACAAGTTCCCTTCCGACCCTACTTCTATGAATCTATAAATCTATGACCCCAGCTGACTTGCTGTCCCTTGGGCAGGGGCTGGACCCAATGATCTTGCAAGGTCCGTTCCAGCTCTAATGTCCATGAAATCTAAGGAATCTATGAGAAGTGAACAGATTTTGATTCAGGAAATGCAGCCACATCCTGCAGTAACTCAGGCCAGAACCCAGGGCCCTAGATCACGGCTCTCTGAATGTGTGTTCACTTCCTCTTCCTGCTGCCCCTGAGGTCTCTGGGATTTGCAGTCCAGAATTAGAGCAGCAGGACTCTGCAGGGTTGCTCATCACTTCTTCTTCCTGCTTCCAGGTGCCTCTGGGATTTGTAGTTACAGTTGCAGCCAGCAGTAAGTTTGAGCAGGGGAAGGGGTATTTAACACCCCTTCCTGGGCCCCAGACCCCACCTGGGGTTTGCCTAGGTGGGGGCAATGCCCTCCCCCCTCCATAGACTGGGCTGTATCCCCACCCTGGCTTGCCCTCCCCCCACCTCCATTGTCAGACAGCTTTCACTGCTCTAGATAGGGAGCAGAGGGGCAGGGCCAGCCCTGCTCTCTGGAACACAGCCCAGCCCAGGGCTGGAAAGCTTGCTGGGATATTGGGGAATGGTGATTAAACTTGAACCAGGAAGGGGTCTGGGACA